ATCTTTTACTGTGATTCTACAAGCACATACTTTTCAATTTCTTTTCTACTACAGATCCTCACAACAGAGCAACACAAAAAAATGTCTATACAACTGATCCCACAAAAACTCACCTCAGAAATATTACCAAATACACTGAGTAAATGGAAAGCTACTTTCTATCTAGAAGTTCTAAATTTGAAAGCAAACTTTGAATTAAAACCCTGTCAGAAGGCAGGAGAACTAATATAACTTTAAAATAAAGCTTTTACAAAATCAGAAAACAGAAACTTACTTTTCCTGATTTTTTTAAATCCAAAGAAAAACTAAAACATTAATGATCCTGGAAGCAATTCTATTTTTCTTAAAAAAACAAACCAGCCAACTCATACCTCCTTTAAAGCCATCCCAACAGCCAATATTCAGGGAACAGCAAAGTGAATCACTAGATCCACACTTGGCTGTTGGGGGACATTCAAAACACGTTTCATGGAGAGTTCACTCTCCTTTGTGATCGGATTTTTCTCATTCCAGCTTTGACCATACAGTTACAGTGATTAAATGGTTTTCAGAGTAACAAATAATTAACATTAACAGCAGTTAATAATAACTACATAGATGGAATCTACTCCAGCTTCCTCCTGAACCCTTCACTATGTTCCATTGCTCTCAGACTTGCCTCTTTCCACCTACCCTGCAATTCCCTCTCTACAAAGCCCACTGCCTGAGCATCTTCCATTCTCTTGTAGCTGCCCCAACACCCCGGTCATTGTTTGTTTCACTAGTCAATGATCACACTAATTTAATCAGCAGTTCCCTTTTACTGCCAGGGCTGCCAACACAGGAACCTAACACAGCTCTCTGTTCAGGCCTGTTTGCTGTCTCTTTGCTATGAGGACTCTGAACTCCTTCAGGAACCAGTGGAAACAAAGCAAGCCAACAAAGAATGACAGAAGCTCCCACCACCACTTTGATAAAAATAGGAACTCATTATTTAAAATACTTAATTCAGCCTCTAATAGCAGTAAGATTTTTAATCTTAGAACTGCATTTGTCAGTAACAGTGCTCACTAACAAATGTTCTTAATTGCCAATTAAAAAAAACCCAACAACTCACGTGCAAAAGAAACAGTCACAATGCTTAAATTATACTTTGGAATTCAAATACCACAAGTTATAATCTAATTTCATTAAAAGAGCCTACAGTGCACAAAAGCACACAATTCAGCAGAAGATTTCATGCTATATACATTTACACTCCCCAGTCGTTATTTTAAGCAATTCAGCAAGACCATGGCATGAAGCAAAGTTTCAAAGTCTCTTAAACAGAAATGGAGTGAAACACACAGTATTTTCTTCACAGTAAGAAACAACTGAGTACAGGTGGCTTAAGTGAACAAACCTTGTTTGCATAAAGTTCCACTGTGTATCTTACTGTGGGTCATCCTGCTCCAGACAGTTAAGTAGAAACACCCTCTGCCCTTTTTATAACAAGGGTTGCATCTAACATTTTTACTTTTAAATTATATATATTTATAGCTATGTATCTCCCTTTCATTATTCCCAAAGCTACCCTACTTATCTGGCCTCTTTATTTTCTTTCCTGGACACCAGTATCTCATCATTCATGCATTTTAAAAGAAGTACAACAGCCTTCCCTCTTCAAGAATTAGAGTTGTCAAATCTTTGTATTTCCCTTTTTCTTTAATGGAAATATTTTTCCACATCTACAAGGCCCTTCATAGTTCTATTCCCCATAAACAATGCTGGCTTTAAGTCCCTATTTGTTACTGTTAAGAAACTTCACACTTGAGCTGGTCTCATAAGACGCCCTAATCTCTTCAAACCCCACACTTGCCTATAGCAGCTGACCTATAAATAAGAGATGCACTGAGGGGGAGAAGCTGCTCATTATGTTTCAAACACTTGCATACAGAGACAATGCCCCCATGCACAGGGACCGAAAGCAAGAACGAAGTTAAGGCACTTTTTGATATGCTGCATGTACAAGTGCTCTTAGGAAACCAGGAATGTGACAAAAGCTTGCAATTACTCCATGGTGTTTAGTCCAAGGTAAACTTGGAAGTCCCTCTCCAGAGAATGACTGTCTCTGTACACAGTCTCTTTCCACAGAAACCATGCAGTAAGCAACTTTGAAAAATGCTTTGTTTGCACTGTATGGAGGGCTTACCCGCAACACGTTCTAAAACCTTAATTGAATTTCTCCCCATGGATTACAATTCTACAAAAGATTCTGCCATGAATATTACTAAAATAAGCTGTTATAAAAAATACTTTATACACATACTAAGGATATTAACAGGATGCAGTTCTGTGATTTTTGACTAATTAATTTTCAATCAATTCCTGCTTATATTTTAAATGTGCACACACATCGTGAAATGACATTTAAATGACATTCTGCATTTACCACAAAAACATGAACCAGTCATGACTGAAGCAGTGTGCTATACCACTGACTCTTCCTGTTTCTCTTCAGAGCTAAAATTACTAAGAGATGTATAGGAGTTCTTTCCAAACATTGAGATGAGAGGGAGAGATCAAGTTAAATCAGCTTCATGTTCAGTAGTAACATTCCACATTTATGTTCCGTTTTGTTTTCTAAGGTATGAGAGAAGAGATTGTTCGTTTGGGATTTTAATTCAGTTTAGGAAAATAAATACTAGAGATGTTTCAATGAGATTTGCTTTGTTGAGTTCAGCTAGATCACAGGAAGGCAGTAACACCTGCAGTAGTTTCAAACTGAGCAGATCCAAATTAAAATAATGCACAGCAATTACAAAAAATAAAAACCACTCAGCTTCTTTCCTCCTCTACAAAGAGTGCAGAAAGAAAACAAGACAGGCAATTATAGTAGTATCATAGCAAATTAATAGTTCTTGGTCATATAAAGGCTTAGATGAAAAATGTTAGTACTTTGTAATGTTTTTCTTTTTTCCACTGTACATCTCTAATTGCAAAACTAAGGCAATACTATATCAACAGCAACCCCTCAGAGTAATTCAATAGACAGATAAAATGGTAAATTATTTTATTATGTCTTTTGCCTACTAGCAACATGCAAATGCTCATTACACTAGAGCATTTCACCTATATTTTAACACCTACCTTCAATTCATACTGACAGAAATATTCAGTATATCAAAGAAAAATTAATACCCTTCTGCCCACATTTGCTCAGCTTTGGTTTACTACATACATTACAGAGGATTTAACCTAATTTTGGTTGTTTTAACTGTATTTTACAGAGGTGAAACTGTGGCCAAACTAACCTTACTAATGGCACACACAAAAAAATAACTTATTTACATCAAACAGTAAAAATGTTAAACTTTAAAAATTAGTAATTTCCCTTAGACTGTTGGAAGACTACTTCCTTCTTCCAGTCTGTTAACACATGATGTGAAAACACCTGCCTTCAGATGAGAATAAATGAAACTTTCCACTGTCTTAACAACCAGGAGAAGGTAATGTGGGATGGTGTTCCTTTCATTCACAAAACTACAAATAATTCATTTTCCTTCATCCTGACTGCATGCATACACACCTCAGACCATTCCCCAGCTATTACATCCAGCTGGACCTTGTGAGGACTGCAGAAATATCTCTTCTATCTTACACTTCCAACACACAAATAAGAAGAAGCACTCCCCACATAGAGCCTCAACCTCCAGATGTTTTCATATATGCATGATTCCACTAAATGCAGCTATGTTCAAGCAGAAAAAATGACCAACTGTAGCAAAACTGAATAGAATTGCAGGAGAATGTGGGACTAATTTTTGGACAGGTGAACAGAAAATAAAAGAGGACACCTCTGTATCCTGAAAAGTAGCAGAGAATAGCAGCATATGGGCATCACACATGCATTTAATTCTGAAATTACTACACTTTCAATTATTACCAGATACAATGAAAATCAGTGTATTAACAAAAGAGGCATGTTCTTATAATGCATCTATACACTTCTGTGACATTAACAGTGGTCTACAGAGCCTCAGCATTAAGTCAAAGAAGGAAAACCAAATAGGATTTATAAGAATTGGGTACCCATGAACACATTTGTAGGCTTAAACTAGTATGTCCTAAAAAGGTACTTGAAAGATACTTCTTTTATTTTACTATAACTATTATATCAAGTAAAACTAGTGCAGCAATAAATGTGTATGTACATCAGAGTTTGTCAGCTTTACATAGAACAAAGAAGCACTGATTTAAAATTCCACATTCTCTACTTGAATACTTCACCTTGTACCTTGACACAATGACCAATAAACAAAAGAACTTCTGAAAATTCAGACAGCAAGTGCAATTTTCTAAACTCTGTTTGTTACCTAACACTCTTTATTACCTGGAAAATCCTACTCTTTTCCTAGGAAGCAGGGATACAAAATAAGATCAGTTAAAAAATACTGGGGATATTACTACTGTTTATAAACCTGGAAAAACACAGGAGGCTGACTTGACTGTGAACACAGTTCTAAAAGCTCCTATCAAGAAAGGCTCTAGTATGTGCTACCTTTGGTCATCTATTAAGAGTTCTACATATCAGCTTAATGCAAAGAAGCTTTTTTCATTTCTGGTTGTGTTTAGTCTATGGAGCATGTACCTACCCAGTACAGCACCACAACACACAAAGTTATTAAAAAGGATGCAAAACAGCCAATATTAATTGCTAAGGAAAAATCCAGAAAACTATTTGATGTTATCAAATGTTGCAGTTTGTCTTAATAAATGAGACATACTAGTTAAACTACGTTTAAAAAGGCTTTATTTAATCTTTGGGGCTGTAAGGAAAGCTACCATATCTGTAAAGAACAGAAAATTAATAGGTGTTACACTGCCTCAATGATTGCTTCCAATCAAATCCCCATTTTGGGTTCACTGCAGTCACCCTCAGCTGAGTACGAGGCACATTTAGTGTAAGACATCACCTGAGTGATAATGACTAATTTTAATGAGAAATTAGTGACTGTAAAAGTTTGTTGAAGATAACTTACCACCATCCCTCTCTCTAACTCTGTGAGTGTGCACACTTTTTGCTTTACTGTGCCCTGTGCTGTCACCGTATTTGTTCTCAGGGCTGTCAGAGCGCCGCAGCATTTTGTTGGGCGGTGAAGGATCCGTGGTGTCTCGCATCTTGTCATGACGGTGATCACCACCACTGGGGTGACCCTTGGATGTGTACTTAAGAGCCTGAAACAGATCACAGGAAAACAGCCATCCACATTACACACAGAATTTTGGGATTTCTTCTTCTCTTTCAAAAGTACTTTTAGAAGTTAATTAATTTTCATTTCCTATTTAAAAAAAGTCAGCATTAGTCTTTCTAGTTTTAATTACCTACATTAAAGCAACACGTTCTGTAATTAGAACTTCAACAAATTTCTCCCACTGTTACATCCAAAGCAACACTCGCTGTTAAGAAGAACCTAGTTTCTCAATCTTTTCACTGATGGACTACACACTTTCAGCAGTAAATGGGCCACAGTTCTCCCCCACTTTTGGGAGAAGAACTAGTCTCCACCTGTCATTAGGAAAACAAACTTACAGTTACACTGAATCAGTGTCAACTTTGAATATGTCCTCCACACTCTAGTCAAGACCACTTGGTTTCACCATAACCTTGAATTTCTGTGATTTTTTTTCAGTACTAACATCCCTGTAACACGTGTAATTTAAAAAAAAAATAATTCTAGGGAGCCTAAACATATAAACTCATTCTAAAGTTTTAACCAAAAATTACATGTTTTGCCTCACTCTGACCTGCTTGGTTCTGTGAACTCCTGAGTGGCAAGTGTTTACATTTATGTGAACTGTCACTGACAGCTGCCTTGGACTGCCCTACTGCACTCCAGTGATCCAAATACACGGAAATGCAGTAAAACAGTTCAATTTAGGGCCTACAGAGAGCAATATCACAACATATGGCTTTCCACAGACTCAAACCTCGACAATTGGGTTTCTTCAGTAGACACAGCAAAGAAGTGCAGTATCCACCTTACAGAAATTGAAGCTATTGCTAGTAACTCAAGGATTTTATGGCTTCTGAATATGCCTAGCAGCTGGCAACTGCAGAAATTAAGCCTTACTTACAACCCCAAGGTAGTCAGGGTCTAAACCCGTGCCTGCTCGTGTTATAGCCCACAGAAGCAGTTTTGGGGAGAAGAAAGGACTTTGGGGAGGGGTTGGGGGAGGGGAGGGGGGGGGTGGAAGAATAAGACTCCTTTTGTTTTTAGAAAAAAACCATTCACCTCCCCTGGATCTCCACTCCACCGCAGGTGACCCCGGCTCCCTCTCCCGCCCCTCGCACCCTCCCCGACTTCCAGGCCCGAGCCCCGCACGGCTCGCACTAGGCCGCTCCTGCTCGCCCCGGCCCCGTAGGCCTCGGCCGAGCACCGGGGCCCCGCTGCCTGCGCCGGGGCCGCCGCCGCCTCTCCGCACCTCGGCCCCGGGCCCGNTCCGGGGGCAGGGGCGGGGGAAGGGGGCGGCTCGGGCAGCTCGGCTGGAGCGGCGCTCACGGGCCCATCGCCTCGAGAGGGGAGACGCTGGCAGCTCGGCCCCGCGCGCGCTGAGACACACCGGGAGCACCGACTCGGCCACCGCCTCCCCCCGCCGCGCCCGCCGCCGCCGCTCCAACTACATCCGGGGAACTCGGGCGACGCCGCGCTCGGTCAACGTCGGCTCTTTCCGGCTCTTTCCGACGCGCTCCGTCCCCTCTGTCCCCTTTGCTCTCGGGCGACTCTGCCTTCGGTAAACATCGGCTGCGTCCGCCGAGCCCGACGCCCCTCAGTCCCTCCCTTCGGCAAACATCGGCTGCCTCCGCCGAGCACGACGCCCTTCAGTCCCTCCCTTCGGCAAACATCGGCTCCTTCCGTAACGTTCGGCCCTCCCTGCCCCTCCCGCCTCGGCCCACTCTTGCGAGCGCTACCTGTCTTCGGAAAACATCGCGTTTTTCCGGAGAGACGTTTCCGCGCGGCCGTCAGGGCGGCGCCGCGTTCGGAAGCGCTCGGGTATTTCCGTGACCCCTCACGGGCCGGCGCGGTCGTTGGCGGGCGCACGCTTAGCCGAGGGCAGCGCGGCCTCGCTGGCAGAGCCGCTCCCTCGGTGGGGAGGAATCGCGATCCTGCCAGGCAGGTGGGGGCAACAGCGGGAATTGCGGGGGGAAGCTAGGAATGGGCCGGTCTCCTCTTACCTACCCCCTCCTCCCCTTCCGCCCGGGCCCTCGGTGTGCAGGCAGGAGCCATTTTGTGCGCGGCGCGTGTTCCGCGGGGCCGCGCTCTGCGGCGAGGAGCGTGTTAAAATGTCCCTGGCTCGGCCGCGGCCCCGGGGTGCTCTCGGCGCTGTGAGAGGCGGCACACGGGATCCGCGTCACCCCAGCGCTGGGAAGCTCCGGGCGGGAAGATTCCCTGGTGCTGTCGGTGCCCGCTGAGCCCCTCAGGGTGGTGCCCGGTGACAGGACTTGGAGCGATGGCCGTAAACTAAGACACAAGAAGCTTCACCTCAGAATGAGGAAGAAACTTGGGGGGGTTGGGGTGGGAGAGCGCTGGGTTAGGCTGCCCGGGAAGGGCGTGGGGTGTCCCTCTGCGGACACATTCAGAGCCCGCTTGGATGCTCCAGGTGACCCTTCTTGCCGGGGGGTTGGACTGGATGATCTCCAGAAGTCCCTTCCAACCCTAACCATTCTGTGATTCTGTGATTTTTGCTTATTTCTGACCAGGCCCTCGAAGTTTGAGGTACAGAGCATCCTGTGTTCAGGATTGGGTAAAGGTATTATAAAAAAATATCATAAATACTTTGATGCTATTGCTATGATAGTTTCATAGGGGCCAGCAGTTTTCAGTGAAGATTTAAGAGCATTTGCCAAATTTTCTCCCACCCCCTCCTGAAAAGGGAAGAGGTGGCACATCTGAGAATGGGCACATTAACCTTAAATAGAGAACCTTGCCAGGTAGCTCCATCTGTGCTAGTGAAGCATTATTCGTGGCAACATCTTACAGATTTTTTTGTTCTGTTTCTTTGTTTGTTTGTTTTCATTTAATTTGAGTGCAGAAGGCCATTGCTGAAAGGGGACTTCAGGGAGTGAGTGCAGGATGACTCAGCAGGGAGCTGTTCTTCAGGGTTACAATAATGAACTAGTGAAATGCATTGAAGATTTATGTATGCAAAAAGAAGAACTGAACAAACAAATCCAGCAAGCAGAAGAGGAAAAGAATAAACTCCAGCATGAAATCCAAGTCCTCAGTGAGCAGCTGGAGTGTGTATGTGAAAACCTAGCCCAAAAAGTGGCTTCACGGAACGAGCTTGATAAAATACTTGCTGAAACTGAAGCTGCTTACATGAAGATTTTGGACAGCTCTAGAACTTTACTTAATGTCCTCAAGAAGGAAGTGGGAAGCTTAAAGCATTCAGCAGATCTGAAAACCAATATAACGTGAAACAGTCAAATGTTTGGACTCTGCAGTGCTAAAATTCCACTAGGTGAGAAACGTGGTCAGCCACTGAACCTTACAGCCACAGTATAAGCAGAGAGGGATTTTCTTCCAGTCTTTATGTATGTTTTGTTATTTTCAAATGCACTAGAAAATAGTTGAAATAAAGTTGCCGTTTTGCTTTAAAAAATCTACTTAACTGAACACTACCAAAAATAGCAGCTAGGTAGTTGAGGCAAATGGGAGACTGTCAGTTTTGACATCATTGTGCTTCTAGGCTTAGGAAAAAGGCATGTTTTATTGCTTGACTTCAGATGGCTCCCAGTAAATTAGTCTTTGAAAACTAGTGGATGCAAGTCAGTCAGATACTACTTGTTGTGACTTTACTAATGCTTAGGCTTTGCTGTTGGGACCAAGTAGAAATGAGCTATTCAGCTTCCTCTAGGAGCTTGGAGTTCTGTGTGATGTATGGACAAAGCCAGCCCTCTTCACAGTAATTGCCTGCTTGAATAATGATAAGGTGAGAAATCAGGAGTGATGCAGGGCATGGAGGCTTAAAAGTTAGCACTGTATGTGGTTCGTGCATCTTCTGAGGCTGTTCTTCAAAGCCTTGTTTAGAAAGGAGATGTGCTGCAGTGAAAGTTGGGTTTGGTACAGATGGGAAAACAGCTACACCATGAATGCTTGGACCAGTAATTCATTTGGGGGTATGAAAAAAGTGTCAGTAGCAACTAGAAGTCCTGAAATACCTTTGGGGTCCAGTTAAAAATACAGAGGTAAACACAAGACCAAAGAAGATAATCCTGGCTAAAAGCCAGTAATAGAATTTCTGGAAGCCTTTTTAGTGCCTTTTAGTTCTATACTGATTTGTTAAATAATTGTAATAAGGTTGTGAAGAATAATGAATATCCTGAAGTGATGTGAAAGAAATACAAATGAGAGGTGAAAGAAGAAAATGAGAAGTGGTTTGCAGCTATCAGCCATTCTTACAGAGGACATTAAAATAGAACTTAGTTTAGAGATCAGGGATGACATAACAGCATGGCATAAATTTCAATTTAATGCTGTTTTAATTTCTGCTGAACTCTGTTCTGCAGAAATCTCTCTCAGCAGTGTGCACGTACACGTGCATTTTGTCCCACTTATTTGTGTCTTACAACAGTAACTTTTTAAACTCCCTCTTGTCAAATCTTCATTCAATACCAGTTGACTAAATTGAAAGAAGTGCAATTGAAATCTCCTGACTTGATAGTGGTGTGTCTGTCAGGTGCACGTGTAGAGGGAATGGAGATGTGAATAGTTTTGGTAATAGCTCTTCATGGATAATAGGGAACAAATTTTGTGTTCTGCTTGCCAAGCTGCAATCAGGGATGAGTGTGACTGAGCTAATCACAGTTTACTTGTATGGCACTTCCAGGGCTTCCCTCTGGGGGATTCCCAGTGGGTCATGCACAGGTGATAAAAGTGCATTATCTCAGGGGTATTGCTGTTGTAGTACTGCAGCACTTAGGACCACCTTGTTTATATTGAAGGGAAACACGAAAATTTTGCTATTTTTAGTAGCAAAAAAGTGATTTATTTGACTGTACATTTTATGACAATCTGTCTGCCCTTAGACTCATAGTAGTAACTCATTTACTGGAAATAGGAAGATTCAGAAAAAATACTAACTAAAAAGCAAGAACTTTGAGTTGCAGATGTTAGCTGCTGCTTCTTATTAGCTGCACTGGAACTGGAAATTGTGAAAATTTGTATCATAGAAATCTGTTTATGGAGGACAGCAC